CAGCAATGGATATGATTTGCAAGGGATCCACTTTGGTATCTGTAGTATGCAGTCAGTAAGTCTAAGAATGGAGCTACAGAGCGGAATAAGAAAAAAGTTTTAAACGGTCATAATTCCCTTTTTGACTCTATAAAACTTTTAATAAAAAATTATAAGAATAAAACTCAAAAACGATGTAGGTTGTGGGCATATTGTGGTAGAATGATGTAGAGCTTTCTTGTGCCATGATCATCTCTAGAATGTCTGTTGGTCTTCTTTGGAGAAAAAATATATCCTTCCATCTTTAACATGTGCGCACCCCAACTGATCTATGATAACTCCAAATTCATCTGGTGAAAGATATTTTCTGGTTGTCTGAATCTCCTGAATATAGGATGGGTGGCTGATGGTGTAGTGTATAATCATTCGGACTGTGGGAATGATGGAGTGTCGATCGAGAGCAGGTGCTGGTTTCGATCGATGCCTCATACTATTCTTCGTACTCTTTTACATCAAATAATTCTTTAGACTGAATCAGGACTTCAATCAAAAAGGAATCTCAATATGGTGTAGTGTTAATAGATGGCTGATACAGATTATCGTTCGATGGCTCACCATCATCTTCATGTTCTTTGCCAAAATAGTTGTAACAAGCTGCTACAAGCCCTAAAGAATTCCACTTTATCTGAACCTCCATAATGTGAAAATTCACTAGAACTAAGGAATTGCCTATTTTTACCTGAAGGTTTCTAACAACCCCTCCTTAACTTACCTTAGAGCAATCGAGAAATGTGATGAATCGCTTGAAGGTTCTATCTTGAATGTAGTATCTGCTCAGCTATATATATGGCTAGACGCTGACAGAAGAACATGTGGCGCAGAGGGCCTTAGGGTAGCTGTGACCTCCAATCATGCAGGGTACCACAAACTTCTCATGACAACTTTTCTTATTCAATGTAATCATCTGCTTCAGCTTCTCTCTGATTTAATAGAACATACACTCAATGTATTCTCTAGTTTATTTGCTCTCTCTCTGGAAAAACATCCAGAGTATGTGGATCCAATTAATATCTTCGAATGGCATGTCCACTAGGATCCTCATCATCCTCTTGGTGAAACTATCCATCTCTTTCTCATTAGCTTCTCTTCTTGGATGCTTAAGAACCTTGTTCTTTTTTCTTTCAGAAACTGGTCTTTCTGTAGCCTCGTCCATGATCATAGGCTATGGTAAATCTCCATGTTGGTGATTAATGTTTCATGTCAGGCACTCCACATCGATACTTTGCTATCATACTCGGTAGGTACCTAGTCATTGTCGATCGACGAACATGAGTCAGTATCGATCGATGTTAACTGTTTCAAAAGATGCTATAGACTCAGCATGGACTATCGATTTCTACTTGACATCTGGTATCAATCATCGTTCCATTTTGGTTTTCGACCGATAGTCGAACGATACTAGTGAGAACCGCCGAAGGACAATAAACTTTCGACTTGAAAGTCCCCTTCTTGCAGTTTCTCCTCCTTCACCAATTGCAAAAAATCATCATCTATCAAAGCATTCACTTGGTGTCTCTGTCCAGTCTCTCCTTTTCCTTTAATCAATGCTTTATATCTCCTAACACTTTAACTAGTCTGAACCAAATGAATCTCCAACTTCTTCACATGTGTCCGGAGAGCTTAATTTTACATTCAGGTTGGTGTATATATAATCTATCTTTCCATTGAAATCCATTATCAACTTCTTCTGGCCCTCAAGAACCTGATCAGTTATACTCTCCAATTTACTTTCTTGAGTTGCTGTGAATTCTGGTTGTAATTACTACTCTTACCAGTGCCTTAAGCTTTCCGGTTGCGTCCCTGATTCCCATACTTCTGAAAACCAGTGCCACTAATGTAGTTCACATCTTCCACGTGACCCTCGTTACTGGGGAAATAAACAGCCTCTACATCTTCTACAAAACTCACCCGCTTCTTGACACGCTTGTGAACACTGTCAAGATTATAGAGATATAGAAACTAACGTTGTGTGTGTGATATTCTAGAACTTGAATTCTAGTGTATAGATAATCCAGTAGTCGCATGTGAGCCTAATAATTATTTAAGTCTCGCTCTCCACCTTTCACTTGTAAACACAAAATAAGCATTGATTGATGGTTTATCTGAGTGTCGATCGGCGGTCCAATAATTGAGTTTATAGTTTTATCTGATTGGTTCACTAATTTCCTTGACCAGATGTCGCATGTATTTAACCTAGCTCAAAATAATCAATTCAGGTGAAGAACCTACTGTCGTAGTAGTCTACAATCCTAAAATCATGTTCTTAGTTAACTACTCTAGAACACTAGCATTTATAGCAATTCAATTGATTGAAATCTTTATCCCCTTACAAATTCTATAGTTTTGGCTAATCCCTCCTAACCCTAATTAACCCTAAATTTAACAAAGGGAACTACTGAGACGTGATCAAGCAAATCATGATAATAAACTAAATAGAAAACATAAAATATAATAAGGAATAAGAAATAATGGAGGTCCAATACAAATCTTTGAAGGAGTCTTGGATCTTCTCTCCAAAACTAACTAAAAACTTTTTTCACAAGCTTTGGGTTATCAATGACTTCACCACGTGCTATATATTTAGAAGAAATCTCAGATAATCATCCCACAAACATATCGATAGTATCAGATTCCTTCACATGATTGAATCAACTCGGTTCTTTTACCCAATCAGCTCCAACATGTCTTGCCTTTATTGTATCCCAAACCGATTTTGGAATATCAAATTCTCCAAGTCGCAGAATCAAGGCCTCTAGTATGGATTGAAACAACAAGGCGATCCCCATGTTTTTTTTTATCTTCATCTTTAGTCCCAAGCTCTATTGTCTTCCATACTTTGTTAACCTTGAGGGCAATTTTCGTATTGACCAGAATGTGTAATTTGCAGAGTCAAACATAGGACACGTTATAGAGGTGGGTCCGATCTCCTTAGGTTTTATCTTGACTTTTTACTTCTTTGTGTTGCTCATGATCTCTAAAACTTTTGTCACACACTATTTTTGTACAACCTGACTCTTATACCAAATATAGAATCTCGACTTTATGAACTCAATGAATAAGAATAAGTTTATTTTTAATATCTAAAGAAAAATAACTCAAAATCTTAAGCTCTTACACAACCATAAAACTTATAAGTTATGCTACACCTTGGCATCTCCTTATATAGGAATAAATAACTCCTAAACCTAATAGTCTTAGTATATTTAGATATTATTTAGATATTTTTAATATATTTAGTAAACCATCACTCGGTAGGATTAGGATAGCTTGTAACTCAAGTGAACTTCAAGCTTAATCCCCATAGGGCATGCATTTTTTTTTTCATGTCTATGGGTTTCTATGTTACAGTGATTATAGTTCTAACGATTTTTTGTATGGGTAATTTATTACCTCTTATTCTTGCGTTCATGTAGGGGCAAACAATGCAAATGATGTATGAGATCATAGCACGAGAAATAAAACACGTGGAACTTGAGAATTGTAACCCTCAAGACTATCTCAACTTCTATTGTTTAGGCAACCGTGAGGAGTTGCCATCAGATCAAAATTGTGTATCAAGCAGCGGCGAAATGGTAACATTGCATCTCAGTTGCATCACAATTCCTTAGTTTGTTCAATATGAGGAATATCATAGTAAGAATTATTGATCAGGTCTCAGCATCTCAAACATGGCGAAGGTTTATGATATATGTACACGCGAAGGGAATGGTAGTTGATGACGAATATGTGTTACTAGGCTCTGCAAATATAAACCAGCGATCAATGGCGGGATCGCGCGACACCGAGATAGCAATGGGAGCATACCAAAACAACCAAACATGGAGCCACAGGAATAAATACCCTCGTGGCCAGGTTTATGGTTACAGGATGTCGTTGTGGGCAGAGCACATGGGAAAGATAGATGATATATTCAAAGAACCCGAAAGCCTAGAATGTGTGAAGAGAGTTAATATTATAAGTGAAGATAACTGGAAGAAATATACAGAAAATTGTTTCACTCCCCTACAAGGACATCTACTGAAGTACCCACTCTCCGTTGATAACACTGGAAAAATAATCCCTTTGCCTGGTTTTGATTCATTCCCTGACGTTGGAGGTAAAATTCTTGGTACACGAACCAATCTTCCAGATGTTCTAACAACATAACTCAATTATTACATTGGTTTGTAACATATACATTTATGGAAAAGACTATTATTTGTTCAATATATACACAATTACTGATGTTACTTTATTTCGGTTTACATCGTGAATGTTGTAAGTGTAATCAAAACCCCAAAATTTACTACTGTAAACCCGGTCTAATGGTTAAGTTTAAAGGCTTATACACCTAAGAGACTATGCAATTTTTTGAAAATTGCACATTATAAGAGATCCAGGTTTCAATCCTCAAAGAAATGTTGGCCACGCCTTCATGTTTATGCTCTGTCCCTTCAGCCTTGTTTTCTATGGTGAGTTCTCCTTTGCCACCAAAGAGTCCCACCAAGCCTTGTTCGTTGTGAATCAGAGCACATAGCTCCTCCAGAGATGGAAGCTCCTCACTCCTCAAGATATGCTTGATTAGGTCACTATAACCCGGGTTGAGAGTGAACAACAAAGCAAAGACCTTATCTTGTTCATTTCTCTCATTTAGCAGATCCGGATCAACACTTGTAGGCCTTAGCATCTCTAGCTCAGCCCACAATTATGTGAACTTCCCAAAATGTTGGGAAGTCATTGTCTTCTTTGCTGAGAGTATTGATAGCCCTGTTGATTTCAAACACTCGGTTATGTTAGATGTGTTGCCATAAAGCTTCCAAGATAGAGGGTTCAAGGCTGTTTTGAATAATGGAAAGAACCATAAGATCTTCCTGACCTTTCTTCACATCTCATCCAGCTGGAACAACATCTTTGCCATCCTCACCTTGGATAGCCTTCTTTGAGGTCCTGCCTTCAACAACAACCTCCCAAAGACCTCTGCGTCCGTGTGCTTTCTTGACAAGTCTTGACCAAAGTAAATAGTTAGGTCCCTTTAGAGTCACTGGTATCACAACCATCTTGTTGTTTTCCATCGCTCAAGAGAGAAACTAATACTTGAAAATCTCAAAAGAAAAGAGAAATGCTTCAAAATCTTCAAGAAAAGCTCAAGAACAAGGGGAAAAAGACAAATAAATTTTGAAATAATATCAGATATTTGTAGAGATTTGCGGAATTAATCGGTTAGAAATGTAGATAATGAAGTAGAGAATTTGCTTCAGGAGCTTTTATGCTCTGATACCTTGAGAGAATTGAAAGATCTAAAGAGGCGTATGTAGAACCATAAATAACAATGAAAAACACATGAGAGAGACAAGAGAGAATTTTGTAAAGGCAAGAAGAATAAGAGGAACTGATTTCCTTATTTGAAATGGTAAGCATACAATATTGATATATAGCCATATTGGGCTGAACAAGACAAGGAACATAATAATAAACAAGTGTGGTCGATTTGGTGGTCCTGGTCCGAGACAATGACATGTCCCAACGGTAGAGAGCATATGTGACTTCTATTATATTTTACTCCCCACGTGCTTCTCTTCTTGCCTTGACTCCAACGGATCTGAAGACCCCAAATCACACTCTTGTCAAGCTCCCAAGGATTCTTTTTGCTTTATAATATTGCTTGGTCGGATTGGTTGCTTGGAACACACAAGATGGTACAGACAGATTTGCTCCTCAAGTCTTGTACGGACCAGGCCGTTCCTTGACAATCCGAATGGCTTATCTCCTCAAGTCCATCCTCCAGATTCTTGTCTTTTTGGGCATCCACACTAATGCATCCACGGGGTTGCATCTTCTCAGGTCCATTCATGGTTCCGTCTTTTGCTTCCTTAAGCTCTGGTTCTAGCTGTTCCATCTTCTTAGTTTCTTTGTTGGTCAGGATCATATCATCCTCTCCCACTTGAGAAGGATTTGACCTCCAATCTGTTTCTTCTGCACAATAAGGAACTAGATCAGTAACATAAAACTTTGAAATCAGGTTACACTTGTTATGGTATTTTTGTGTAGGGTCGTTTTAGTACTATGGAACACTGAGAAGTTTGTATAAAGCAAGGAGAAATTGTAAGAAACAAGTAGAGAAGGAGACGTATTATTGAATAATCAAAGGGCGGCTACAATGTTTGGTATATAAACTCTAATTCTAGCTGCCTAGATCTAGTCTCTCAACTCTTAAAAATGTCGATCCCTTATTCTAGGAATTGGGTTCCCCTTTTTTAGGTGTAGATGTCGGCTTGCATTGGGTTAAACCCTTCCATATTGGCGAATATGAAAGAATTCACTTAAGTGGAGGCTTCTATTTTATCCAAGGGGTCAGTTTTTGGAGCAGGGGTCAGGCCCAGGGAACCTGGATGCTGGGTCTGGGCCCTTTGTCCCTTCAGAGCAGGGGTTAGAGGCCGGTGCCCAGCCCGAAAGCTGGAGGAATCTGGTGCCTGGATATTTTTTCCCAACAGTTTGCCCCTTATTCCTTGATTTCATCAATGTAATCAAGGGATATAGTGTGTCTAGGTGGACCGTAGTCGCTTTACCTCAGCAGATTCCCTTTAAGTAAGGCATTGCTCTAGGCGCCCTGTCCTCCAGGTCCTTTTTAGGTTGGGACCGTGTTTAGGACCGTGTTTGGGACCTGGAATGAGTCGTTTTCCCCTTGGTAAAATGGTATCCAGTAGATATCCTCAGGGCCTGAATCTCTTAGACCTGGTTACGTAGAGTTGTGGTCTCTTTGAATAGAAATGCGCCTATCCTCTAGTGGAGGCGGATAGTTCGAAACGGGAAATGAGAAAGGCTTCTGGCCTGTTTTGTTTTTTGAGTGGAGAAATAGGGAAAACCTAGCCGTTCGCGCTGATTAAGGGATGTCTTCTTGGTGTGCCGATATTTCTTCTTTGGCAGGGGTGGAAAAACGGGAAATTTCTCATATTACCTCCTTTCTTTCTTATTTTTTTCTGGATTTTCCGCTTTTATGAAAATATGTTCTTTCTTTTTTGGGACCGGCGGAGGGTTTTCGGCTCGGGTATATATCCGTGCTCCTTTTTCCGTCGAGAAGCACGCCTCAGATCTCTAAACGCCTTTCTTCCGACCTTGAGAAGATGAACAATCAGGACAAATTTTCGTTATTTTCGTCTTCATGCGTTAGAGGGCATGTTAAGCCACATCGCGTTTCTTCAGATCTATTTTCCTCTCCAGTGACGTCTCCTAGAGCTACTCTCGGGGCAGACGATGTGGTGACACCCAGGGTTCCTCTGCGACGCAGACTCTTTCGCCTTCCTCATGAGGTAGGCAGTGACAGTCCTCGATCCAATATTGGGGAAGAATACTTGGCCGGGATCCGTAGGAAGTATGCTGTTCCCAACTCGACGGGACTATGGTGTGCCGGAAAATTTGAACGTGTATCGGACGGTGGCGCCGGTAAGGTGGCCATTTACGAGGCTTATCTGGAAGCCGGCCTCAAGAGCGGTGTTCCTTCCTTGATAGCAGAGGTGTCGTCGAATTTTATTTTTTCCCCTTTGCAGCTAACTCCGTTATCATGGCGCCGCTGATTGCCGTCCAGGTTCTGGGGGAACTCCATTGTATCCTGCTGGGAGTACCCGAGCTCCTGTATTCCTACAGCTTCGTTACCTTGCACAACAAGAGGGATATGTACCAAATATGGTCCCAAGAGGGAGAAGCTTTAGTGAATGAGCTGCCGCATGGCTTTCGCGGAAGCTTTCCCATTGGCGATTTGTGAGATAGTTGATACATGTTTATTAAAGTCGATGGGTCTTCTAATTATCCACTGTTATGGCGTTCTGTTGGTTAGATTTTTCATCAGATGACCTTCCTTTGCTACCTTCTTATTTCGTTGCTCTATTTTGCAGAGGTAGCAAGGCCTGTGGATTTTGCTGGTGAAATCTTGGCGAAGCTAGCTCGGAGCATCCCGAAGCGGTTTCGATGGATTTCCTTCTTGGTGAGCCCGCTGCCTTACGTCACAGCCGCGTCTGGGCTAAGGGACCCTTTAGCTTGATTGACTGCTTGTGATTCATGTCTTAACTGTTTATGGTTTACTTTGGTTTTAGGTGAGGTCCCTAAGGCTCATGTTCACTCGATATGTAACGACTATATTAGGGCTAGAACTGTAAGAAGGCGGCCTTTTATTATGCCCACACCGCTAGTAGCTCCAACGGGTCCTCCGACTGTTGTCCCCTCTCATTTCTCTGCTCCGAGGCGTTTTGGTGATGCTGACTCGGCTGGCTTCCGTCGTCACGTTCCTCTGTATGAAGAAGTTCTTCTTCTTCACGCACAGCTCAGAAAATAGTATCTCACCATACTCTAGCAGTGCAGCGAGCTAGGGCATTTGCTCTCTGGGAGCTTATGAAGGAATGGTCAGAGAGGTGCACTGGCCGTTGGAAACTTGCAGAGGAGTATCGTCGGCTACTGTCCTTAGCTATGACGCTTGGTCAGAGAGATTTGATCGGTTTGCCAGTTATGCGTGATTTGTTAGAGAACAATAGATCGAGATAGACAAAAATTGCTTACGAATTAGCATGCTAGACTACCCCCTAAATTCAAAGTTCTCTAGGTTTTACAGCAGTTTACAAGACGTTTTCCTTTCTTACCTACGAGAAATTAGAAGTCTAATAAAATTTTCTAATCGGTCATACCTTAACTTTATTGACGATTTGGCATTGTCTATTCTTCGTTCTTCGTCTTTTGACTTACCGGTCTTCGACGAATTACCAGCAAGAGTATAGGAGTGGGGAGAAGACTTAACCATCAGAGTTCATGTTCTTGTTTCTTCGTACTGCTGGTTTTATTTAACCGACTAGGTGCGCTTTGTATATCGAAAAATCAATCACATGTTTATGATTGGATGTTTTCGACTTAGCATGGCAGAGTTTCGTAAAACCGGATTGCGTTTAGAGAGTTCAGATCTCTCGTATAGTTTAGGCAACTTTTAAGTCAACCGTTGCCGTTTTAGACGATTGATTTGAACTTATACGAAGAAACATGTCTTTGCGGATTTATCGTAAAATCCCGATGGAAATTACGATTGAGAGGAAACGAGAATCAGCGCGATCAAGACTCGAGAGAGAAACTCGAGGATTGGTTCAGCTCGACGTAGGGCGAGTCGGGTGAACCCTTTCAGCTCGCCGTGT